TATTATTTTTTGTACTAGAACTACCGAACAAGTCAAAATGACTTGTCAGTACAGTCTTATAACGATGATTAGAATGTTATAACAATACATCATTTGCAATTTATATTACGATTTGATAGTGAAGAAATTAGTTAATTTATAAATTTTCAAAAGTTTCTTAGGACCGATCAAAACAGATATGCCTTTATTGACGGTAGTTCTAGTGTTAGAAACGGTTTTAAATTTTCTCACGTTGTTGTAGCCATATAGCACCGCCATTTGCGTCGGTTCATCGACTCATGTTGAGAGTAGAACACGTGTGCATATTAGGGTTTGATGGTGTCTGTGTTGTTGAGTGGTCTGATCTAGTTTTCGTTCGTTTTAAAACTTCACAGCTACTGATTGCTTTAGGTGTGTACTTTTTGGTATAAATTAGAATGTTCGTCGTGTATTAGAGTGTAAATGAAGTATAATAATGTGGTTGGGGGTCTGAAGAATTAGATGAATTCTATTGCCACAAATGTCAGGAGAGGCTATGGGGCAAAATCGTATATGCGAAGTATACATATTTAAATTTGCTACTTCTTTGCATATTTCACTCTCCTGAAAAGCTAGATGTGAGTTACTGTTTGTCGAAGAGATTTTTTTAGTAAACCACAATTTCAGTTACTTTTCAATTTATTAATGCCAGAGTTATGAAGTTTCATTCCTAGGGTCCCAGTTTTACCCCAGTCTGCCCTACCTTTTTTATTTTTTACCATTTTCTTAGCGAATTTGTAAGATTTCAGTGTTTCTGTTATAAAATTCTTCTGAGCTATTTAACAAATGAAGGGAGAAAAATGATAAGAGTTCACTTTTTGTAAATTTTGAGAAAAACAAAGGAAAAATTCCCCCATCAAAAAAGCCACTGCAGATTTACTGAGTTTTATTAAAAACGCTGTTTTTTCTATTGATGTTTACTACTTTTTCCCCTCACCGTAAAATGACGGGTTATGGAACTTGAAAACGTCAAAATTTCTATTTAAAGAGTTCAAAAACGCCAAAATAACGGGTTACAAGACTTGAACTATTCGAAATCGTGGTTTTAAAGGGTTCGAAAATGTCAAAATCACGAGTTAAAGAACTGGGAAAAGTCAAAATTGCCATTTTTAGGGGTTTGGAAATAAAACAATTGCTTAAATAGCTTTTTTTACCACTGGAATGATTTGTGTGAATAGAATACTGACAGAATAGACTTAAAAATTTGTTTCTTGATTTCTGGAAAATCAAGTTTTTTGAATTCTCATCGTTTTTCCCTTGAGCCCTTCAAATGCTCCCTAAAAATCATTGATAATAAAAGGATGAACTAGGTAACGCTTACCTTAGTGTAATTCAACTTTTGTGCATTGAGCGAGTTAATTAGACGCGAAGTGAATGTTTTTAACAGCTCATTACGTTGATATCACTGTATTGGCCGCACGTTAAGACCACTTATAACACTCGTGACCGACTACGATTCCACCGGAAAACTGTAACGACGCAGCAGAGGTCGGAGACCGAAAAAATTATACGGACACCGGTTATTTGTCGTTCATAGATCACAGTAACAAGGAACCTTCTGCCAAGAAATTACCGAGGTTTAGTCATGGAGTATAGTAAGGAAAGGAGCAAGATACAAAATAAAGAGGTTTGGAAAAAATAGGATGTTATTCGTATTTCAACTTATCCGAAAATGCACTGTCTCGCTGCCAATTGTTTACTGAATTCCATCGCCACATCTGACCCATTTTATACGCTCACGTCCACCCAATCAGCGGTGAGGTATATGGCTACCTGCATTGTCGAGGGCACCGAGTTCCGTGTCCTCTGCTGCGTTTTGTCAACTTCACGCGATATCGTTATAAAATTGTAAATACAGAATCCCATTTTATTTGCTTCTTGCACGTGAAATGAATGTTTCATTAGCGGTACTTGATATTATACTAAACATTATATTATTTTATTAGACAAGGTAAGATGAAATAGACACCGTACAGGGTTTTCATTGAAATACAAGTGCTATATTCATGTTAGATTTATTACATAATTATTATATTAAATTTGAAGATGATTCTTTGCAGATACTTTTAGCTGCCATGTTTCCGCCAAATGTTGTCATTGCTAAATACAGCAGTTTTTAGCAGAAGCGTACAGTGACAAGTAAATATATAGTACAGTCAGAAGTAAGTATACACCGTACAAAGATGAGATTCGTGTCATACTTCTGTAGCATCCTACTATTTTAACAGCATGGTAGTAATACAATTGAATATGATTTTTTTAACATTTTCGGAACGAATAGGCAGCCCAAAATTTCGGGGAAAAGAAATTCGGAGTTGACACCACAAAATTGTTTAAATATTGTTAAACGTCATGAATTTACTAGTATGATTTGAGACAGCATGGCAACTGTGGGTACTGGTGTTGGCCAGTTTGTTTTTATTTATAGTACTATAGACAAATTTGGATATTTAAATATTTTAAAAACAAATTCAGCTGCAAGTGCATTCATGAATCTTTCAGTGAAATCGTGACCCAATATATACAGCAAAGGTGGGTAAACATTGTTTGAATTTTGAAAAACACAGTCAGCAGATTTCAATGTAATAGATCATATGTGGGAAATATTAGATTCTTAATTCAGAGAAATAAATATCTATAAATCCCATACTTTCTAAGTGTATACTCACTTGTGACTCTCACTGTATATATCTACATCCATTTTTATAAAGTATATTTATGAATTCTGCTCAAATACCCATCTTTTAATCCGCGTGGACGAAATGGCCGAATTGAACTGAGATTGATTCTCTACTTCAATTACCTTGAGTGTATAATACATAGATTTTATTATTATGTTAGATAGTACCTCCAGACGGCTAAAGTACGCTGTATAATTTCCCGATAATGAAAGGAGTTACATTAATAATTTTCATTCATAAAAGTAACGTCAAATACATATACGTAAGAATAAAATCGCCCATTTCATGTGTAACGACCTAATAAATACTTTGGCTATAAGTTTGATTTTCAGTCATGCTTCTGAATAAAATGAATATTGAATTAATTTGAACAGAATTTTTCTCGATTTGATTTCAACTTCAGTTCAATGCAACTCAAAGTAGTACAGTAATAGTTTCTTGAACAGTGCAAAATGGTTAAGGAGGATGCATATTGGATATAGTAATTCGTAATAGCGGCGAGCCTTATTACGCTTCCAAGATATTTTTCGAAGAAATATTGTTTGCGACGCAAGCTGTTCCACTTCACTTAAGAGCATGGGAACCTTCAAAACGGAAAATTTACTATCGCGATGGAAGGTATTGAAAGAACAGCCCTTTGCTTCGCTTTGAAAGTCGATGGAGCATCATTTTTTGAGTCCTCAGTAAATTTACACCTAATTCTGGGCTCCCTAAAAGAGGATTGTAACGACTGAGTGAACGATGTAGTAGCAGAGATATATTGTAAAATCGATTGTGTATAACAAATGCATGTTTCAGGACTATCCAACTTACATTTAATTGAAAATTGATTGATGTTTAAATAAGTATGTATAACTAGAAATCTGCTACTAGAGATACAAGAACAACTTGAATAGTTAATGTGATATAGAGTGAGTGATGAAATTATTAGACTCACAGTATGAAAATTACATATTTTTATGTTTGTATGGAAATAAGATCACAATATCAGGGTTTTTATTTAAACACACAAAAAATTAAACTTAGCTTATGTAATTATAAAAAAACAGTTAAAATCGTAAAATCATCAATTTATGCAGGTGGCTCGATAATTAATCAATAAAAAGGAAATCTTGAAGTAATAATTATGTATAATTCTCGCATTTAGATTTTCAGAATATTTAATAATTATTATGACAGTCATTATTCTTTATTTTATTCACCAGTATATTCCTCTATCTTTTGATACTATGTGAAAGCTGTTTATATAAAATTTATGTGATTTCGTAGACAGAATATTATGTATTTCAATTTTCTTTTAGTTTGTTACTTTTATAGATTTTCCAAGTATATAACTCGTCTATCTTATATTGTAGTAACAGTTATACTATAGCCATCAATTCTGGGGCGTTCTAAAGTAATTCATAATCCCTTCATTACATGCACTATCCAAACAAGTGAAATCCTACGTCGTTGCATTTACATTGTTGGAAGAATGTAGAAGAATAACTGGCATTAACGAGGTAATTAATATTCACTGAAAGGGGCATTACTTTGAGAAAGCATGAATTACGATCCATCGTTAATAGTTTTAACTAGGTTAATTTCAAGATGGTTTTGGTACCCAAGCCGCCGCAAACTTGTTCCAAGTTACAGATTACTTTCACCAAACTTCTTGTCAGAAGACCACGCCCATTTTGCAAATATAATCAACTAAAAATTCGTTATAAAAATTCCGTTTCATCGGCGATGCTTAGCCAAAGACACTAAGCGAAAGAGCATGCGGGGCTAAAAGGCCGATAAGTGCTTCGTCGCAACATGGAAAAGTTTCGTTTACTTTTAAACCAATATAACAGTTCATGCGTGAACACTGTCTTAAAATGTCTTACGAATATCTAGCAAGAAATTTTGACATTTTTTAGGTTTCTGTCCGTGGTGTTAACGACTTTTCATTTCGTGGAATTTCAAGCAATGCTCGAATGTATGCCAGGACATTGAAAAGATTACCGCGACCACGAGGAACTTTGCAAATTACGAATATGGGACGTACAGATTTTTTCTATTCAGACGGGACACGGGCATAATTTCGAGTGACATCCCGTATATTTCATTACGTAAAATTAAAGAAGTTCATTCGTCATGTTAAAAAATGTCTTCCTGCAAAGTTTAACGGCCGACAACCTCTGGAGTACGTAATACGTACCAGTTCCGGCGTGGCTCGAAACCACTTTAATGTGCTCGTTAAAGTCCCAGCCATTTGGAGGCAACTCTTTATGAATTAAATCCTCGTTACTTCGCGAAATTAAAAACCGTGGGAACTTACCACGCCGGGGGTCTCATAGGACGGATCCTTCTTCAAGGTATGGTAGTCGCCAATTCGCTGAAAAATGTGAAAACGTGCTCGTTTACTAAAGGTCACACTCAACGGAAATCAAAATCAATTACGCAAGTTCCAAAAGTTCCACAAGGTTCCTTCGGTATAACAAACATAGGTAGGTACTTCGTATGGTCAAATGTCGATTGTTAATAAACGCTTACATATCTAAAGTGAGCCGAAAAAATGGAAACAAATCAAATATTAACCTCCGTAATGCCGGTGAGGAGAGGAGGGCTTCATGTACATAATATTGCTATTTTGAGAATTCTCGCTAAAACAATTACTTAAAAATTGTGAAAGAATTGGAAATTGTGTAAAAATATCCTTCAGTAAAAGAACATCAATATTGTTTCTTAAAATAAATAATAAAAATTGTCGTCGGTGTGTAAAGAAATATCACGGGAAATGTGAAAAATATAATAAATTAAACAAGACAAAGTTACTTATATAACTGTTTATTTCCTATAAATTTCATTCATTTTCATGGAATGCTTTATTTTCTATTTTCTTTAAATCCTTTATTCCCAGATACGTTCAAAACATTGTTACTGGCATAGTACTTTAATGATTTTTATTACTTCTTTATGCAACAGTCGACAAAAAAACTTATTAGATATCAAATTGAAACCTCACTTTATAATTTAATTTAAATAAAAGTATTTTTAAAAACATTTTAACTTAATAATACTTAATTTAATAAGAAGTATAAAATAACTCTATTACTGCTAAGCAAAAATAGAGGTGCCAAAGCCAATTTTTAGCGAAAAATATTCAAGATTCCGTAAGTTTTTTTTAGTAAGAACGCAGCGTCCACCTGTAACTCAAAATTGCAACGGGACCGCAAATTCTGGTACATCGTGCGATCCTTTTCGGTAGAATTCATTCAATAATAATTCCGTCAGTCATCTAACGGTTAACAAAATTTTCCACTGGAAAGATTTCAACAACAACAACGAACGGTTGCGAAAAGAATGGATCGTGTAACGGTGGAACCAGTTCCGAGAATCGGGCTCGATTTTTCTCCGCACGATGGCTGCAATTTTTCACGGCATAAATGCAATTTGCTTTCCATCACGTTCGCGTTCGAGTTAACAAGTTCATACCACGGCGATGTTTATCCTATCACCCGCGAAACAATTACCTTTATACGGGACGGGAGTATTACATAGAGAGCGCAAGAGACACGTGAAAGTGACAGAGGTGGTAGTATGAAAGGGGAGGTGGCGATAAAGATGAGCCACCGCCGAAAGTGGAAATTTGCAAGGGTCGAAAGAATTTTCCCAGGTGAGACGATCCGATTACAGGGCGGCGAATGGGGGCCAGCAGGCCCTATTTGTCGACGGGAAACGTGAATTCGGTCCCGCGTTTGCATGCGTAATGCTCGTCGGATACGACTTAATTACACGAGGGGCCATAAACCTGCGCTGAATCATTGTCACAACCTTCTCGATTTACGTCGCGCGACGCCGCCGCGGCCAATGAATTACCGGCCGTTTCTATCGGATGATTTATACGGGAATGTACTTTGCATTCCGGCCGTGAACACCGGAGAAAGCGCGAAATGGTACATGCTAATCCCTGGCCTCACCATGTACATTACACCTTATTTATACACGTGCAACGTGCACTCTCCCCCCTCCCCTCCCCCCTCCTCACGCCACACTCTTTTCCATTGTAATTCGAGCGTACAGTTTCGTTTCGTAATAATTAGATCTCGTCGTGGGACAATTTTTCAAATATGAAGTACGGAACGTTTTAATAGTTACGGGAAACAGTTGATCTGTTGCAAATGGAACTTTTCGTAGAACGTACTTTTGTGTGATGGTAGTTCGAGGTACTTGTATGTACTTTGAATATGTTTTCTTAATTATATGTCATTTGCACCGTGTTAGATATGTATGTAGGAGTTCTCGGTTTATAATGAATTTCCCTTTGAGGATGGAAGTCACCCTAAAAAAAAAATTATTTTCCATCACAATTGGCTGAACCCAGACCACGAATGACCTTTCCAATAGGTCATTGTATTCGTCTTGAAATACTCTATCAGAATGTGAGTAAAAAAACATACCGTTCCATTTAAAAAAAACAGAGATGACCTTCATATCTCTTTGACGCCTCCACCTATCAAAAAACTAGTAACATCGGATGATCAGCCCCTCGATACCAAATAATTTTGTCCTGATGCATTTTTTCCTATCACCAATAGCAGCCAAGTTATTCAGGTGGCCGGTTTTAAATGCCTCACCTTCTATAAGTTGAATGCTAGGCGATATTGGATGCACTTACCCTACCTGTATTTTCTATATTTTTTGGACGTGAGATGTATCTTAACGATGAATTTATTATAGTTCGAATACATACATATTTCTGTATAGCAATAATCGAATCTAATCGCGGGACAGTTGTTCAAATTTTTTACGGTTACGAGGAGTAATCGATAACTTTTAATAGGAACTTTTCGTAAACCTGAATTCGTGTGATCGTAGTCAGAGGAACCTCTGCCTTCTGCATTTTGATAAACGTGAGAAATATTTTAATGATGAATTTAAAATCAGGAACTATAAAATATAATGCATTGAACGCCCTGTGTGAAATATAAAAAATAATACTGTATCATGCAGTAAAAAAGTTTTATGGAAAAAATGTAGTAATTTACAATTAAAATTAATGGAACTTTTAACATAGTAACTGGAAAGAGCTTTCGTATTGTTTTGTATTTTTTGTAAAATAGTCTATGATCGTATGAATTTGCATAAACATCCGGAATGTACTAATCATAGACTCTACCACAGAACAACGGCATAATTAATTATCCTAATTATCCGTAATCGCAATTCATTCGAGTACAACATGATCTATGTATTATAATTCATTATTGCATCTATTTGGTCTCCGTAATTAATTATATGTATTAACAGCGAATCCTTGCATTACCTTATTAGTCTGCAGTATAAAATTGTATTCAGACTAAACTGCGGAATACAATAGAATAAACAGTTTTGTGAAGGTTAGTATGAACTTTACTCTACTTTGAACACAAAAAAAACCTTCAACCCTAATCCGTCCCTTGTGTCAATTTGACACGGTTTTCTCCTATGAAAATCTGTTATTCATCATGTGTAGGTAAATTTAATTGAAGCTCCGTGACCTTTACTCTCTTATTTTCAAATTTAACTATTTATCTTGTTATTATATTCATTTTTTACCACTGGGTCAATTTGACACCGCGTGATAAATTAAGTTGGGAAGATGAGTGTTAATAAACGAAACAAGCTTCGACATAATTTCAGTTTTCTAAAAGAATTTATAAAAATCTGAATTTGCATAAAGATCCACCGTCGTGTTCGGTTCTAATGTTATGTGAAAACAATATGCACATCAATTTAAAAAGACTGGCGATGCAGTGGTATGAGGAATAAAACATGATCCATAAAGTAGCGTTTCGGTCGCAGTCCCGAGTTTCCCGACGACTTAGCAATCTCTCGATACGGGGTCACGGTTCGATGCTTGATACAAAGGAAGCTTGAAAGGTCGATCAAATTCACACGAGCGTACGTGACCGTGTCAGATCGATGCGATCACGTGTGAATACACACTGTTAAATGATCTGATGTAGCCGAAGCTCTGCTACGAAGGATTAAGGCGCGTCACGTCCGACCGTGCGTGCAGTACTCACGTAGTAATCGGATTTCGGTAATTAACCGAATGCATAGAACGTGATCCAAGGGGGCTAGTCAATAATTCGTTCGCGAAGAGAAGAATCGAACTGAACTACTTCATTATACAAAGTATTAACGACAGTTTTCTTCACCTTCACATCCCTTGGAATTTTTCTCAAAAGTTATTTCTAGAGATTATAGTTTCATATTATATATGAAGAAATAATTTTTAACACTTTATACAATCCACCGTGTATAATATTCTGAGGCTGATTTGAAAGTTACATCAACGTATTTTTATCCATGTAGTCCTACTAGTTTTATAGTTTAATATTTAGTGTATAAAAGAACAAATATCATTAATTAGGGAAGTATGGGTCAAATAACTAGTGTTTCAAATAACTTTTATATTTTTAACGATTCTTTTGAAATCATAAAATTAAATTCTGAGGGAACATCGATGGTAAGACCTTACTGATTATAATTCTTCAGATTTAAAGCGTGTTGCTCTTTTATTTATTCACTAGTATAAATGAATTCAATACTGACCCAGACCTACCCAGTCTCCCCTATCTATTATTTAACAATTACACTATTAAATTAAATACATATTAAATAAGCAAAGAGTACGTCTCTGTATGCTTTAAAAAATAGCCCATCACGACAAATAATATGAGACAGAGCTAAAAGCAAAGGAGACAATATTTATGATTGTGGTAAAATATTATGTATTTCGTTAAACAAATCGAAATCGATAGAACGATTATTATTTTACAAAATTATTTACACAATAATTGAATTATTATTCAAACGAAAGTGTTTCTATTTTGAATAAAGACTCCAATAGCTGGGACATAGCAAGGTTTTCTAGAACGACGTAGCTAGAAACCCAATGTCCTGAAATAACAGGAATACGATTGCTTTGGAGGGCCACGAAATAACAATCGCGAAGACATACTCGACAAGCCTGGCCAACCTTGAATCCTGAAGGTTCAGAAATGCATATAACGTAACCCGTTGAAAGAGGATACTAAACGGAGAAAGGGAGATGCGTCGGAACCTTTTATTTTGCAAAGAATTCCGAGAAAGACAAGCGCGTTAACAAATCTTCCGGGGAAGTACGGTCTTAAAACAATATTTAATGGTCAGGAGATTTGCATATTTTTAGTGTGAAATACGGCAGAGTATTTATATTCCATGTTTTTTAATTTCAGTGCGCTTCATGGGAAACATGAACGCTCTGGAAGTCCAAATGCTCAGTTTCAATTGTAACTAGGAAACGATCTTAATGGAAAGAAAATTTATTCAACGTGGACGATAATATTTGCCGGGCTTATTATTTTT